TTACGGAGTTTACAGACTTTATGAACTACGAGTGGATTAAAGTAAATTATATCTATGTATTCGCATCGCAAGTTTCCTGTAGGAATTGAGATTCATCTAAAACTATTTGGTCTGGGTATGCTATTAAAACAACCGGTCTGTACATTAAGATTGTATCTGAACAGAGGATTATCCAAATACGTCAAATCATAGACCTTAAAATATTTAGATCTATGGTCAAATATGGCCCGGTGCAAGTTCTTTTTGAACGAGACATACGGTTCAAGTTTGCCCGATCTTTGTAATTTCTCGACCGCATTTAAGATACCTATGTCAAAAACACCCTTTCTTAAATACATACAAGAACACTGTTTCATTTCCAACACCTTGTTGAGCCCAAACTTCCCAAAACCACAGCTTTGTAGCAATTGCTTGACATATCTTGTCCAGAAAATGAATGGCTTCGCGTGTACCATAAATACGTAGCACTTGTATACTAATTTTTCAGTTTTCATATTTAAAATCTGTAACTAGTAGTTAATCATTATATATCTATGAACACTCGGCAAAATGGGAAGAATGTTGTAGTCGATTATTTGTATGTAAATCAACACTGTTATGGTACCAAATTTATACCGAATACTTTCCTTTCAGAGCTTTAATTAGCATGTGCACTTAATGATCGCAGGGTTTGTAGCCATGATCTCGGACGAAAGAACAACCCGTACGTAAATTTGTGGCGGAGTCACTTGTATTGATTGATTATTATTGATCCAATTCTCATAGTGCTCATTTTACATAATTTTGTTGTCGTATAAGACGAAATATACAGTGTTACAGAGAACTCCTCCCTAGCATACATATCAACGGCAATAATTCGATGTTGTAATTAGATATGAATAATTAACTAATAATTAATATATATATCTTAATAACTGCTATATATTCTTATTCTAATATTTCGACATGTTGTAAATAGTCGTAAGAGGTCAAAAAATTCACAAATTTATCACCAAATATGGATGTCAATGAAGAGTAATTCATCGTTTATGTCACATGGTTCAAATCTATAATTGACATTTATAAAAAATCAGACAAAATGAAATAATAATGATACCAGTCCTTGTGTCGATAACACTCATCTGTATTAAATAAATCAGACAAAATGAAATAATAATGATACCAGTCCCTGTGTCGATAACACTCATCTGTATTAAATAAATCAGACAAAATGAAATAATAATGATACCAGTCCCTGTGTCGATAACACTCATCTGTATTAAATAAATCAGACAAAATGAAATAATAATGATACCAGTCCCTGTGTCGATAACACTCATCTGTATTAAATACATTTACAAAATAAAACAGTTTTCATGCGATGAAAGAATCCACAAATACAATTCTGATAAAGGCTGGTATATACATATACTGATATAAGAAGACAGGTTGTATTTATTTCCAACAAACAATTGTTTTTTAACACAACAACTATTTGCAGTTTGGTGAGTCTAAATTATTTATGTAAATAAAACATTGTGCTATTGCAAAATGTGATATCACATACGAATAGTTAATGGTTTATCGATCAATTGTTGTGAGGTATACAATAACGTAAAGAGAGTTATATTTTAACTAGTGTATTTTTTAAACGTTGATTTTTGTTTATTTGTTACATCAAAGTCTACTATATGGTTAAATCGGCCTTATGTCGGTGATAACATCACTGATATTGCAAATCGCGGGTTCTTACAGGAGAGTAATGATTTCCTCACTTATTTGCCCATATCCTTACAATTATTTATTGAAAATGCCCTATGCCTTTAAACCAGGGACCGGAAGATCGAATCTCACATGAAGATAATAACTTCATTTATTTCTTTACCAACTCAATCATTGCTAATCACTACGAGATTGTAGATATTGCATACACAGACAAAACACATTGCATTCCCTAAATACGAGATTGAAGTTTCGATATATTGAAATTAATTGAACACCAAAATATAAGACGTTTGTCTTTATGAATGACAAAATATACAATGTGTGGGTTTCTGTTGTCTTCCCATGACGTCACCAGTAGTTTGTCATTTAGTAAGGATTCACCCAAATATGTTAATGAAATGTCACGGACTTGATACTCGGTAACATCTTTACGAATTATAGAATATACTCGCTCACGGGCCGCAAAATCGGCGCAAACCATACAATACTCGATATAACGCGAGTGGTTAGTATGCCCGTTGTTATCAATGTCACTGCTTACAACAACAATTGGATAATTAAATAAATTCCGTGGATTGGTCGGAAAACCAGGAAACTCGGAAACTATCGTCGGCCTCGGGATTTTCGTCAGATCTGCGTGATCATGGATGTAATTCAGCGGCAGGGGCATTGAGCGACGCGTTTTTATACTGACACATACATAATGTAGTAGGCATGTAGATATCATTTCACCAGTTGACTTCATTTGGAGGTCGAACACCATAACTAATGACGTTTTACCAACTTGTATCACCCTTGCTGTGCACACGGCGGATATAGAATGACGTATTTTAGAATAAAACGCAGGATAAACTGTAATCTTTTGTGATCGGACAAAAAAAGAGCACTCCGTTCTGAACACGAGTTTGATATTTTCAGAATTGAGTATCCAAGCTAGACGGGCATCCATAAAGAATTTCGATAAACGCCATACACTGAAATTTCCTGTAACAAAATCGAAAATAACAATCAATCAATCAATCAATCAATCAACAAAGTAGCATTTAACTTGCATTGTAAGTATAGTTTCAATAGTACGAGACACAGTGGCCACACCTCTGTGGTTCATTTTGCACATGCTCTAATACATCCAGATGCAGATCAGACTCGGTCTTAGTACCGCATTACATATATTACATTCAGGAGAGTTTGTCAAGGTGTACATAAATAAATAAATAAACAAATAATTACAAATATAAATATTAAAAGGCGGTGGTCTTCGCACAGCGCGTGTTCGAATGTGATGTAAAGAAACAATATATTTTACAAGTGTTGTATACGTCACTATGAGTCCCATATCAAACAGGACGCGGTGCGACAACTGTCGTCCTTTACTAGCGTAATAGACCCCATCAGCCGCGTGGTGGCGCACTACTACCTGAGATACTTACCCTTTGAGTCCAATTCGTCATCAATCAATTCGTCAAAAGTGCAACGAACTTCCTTTCCTTCGGTCACGACTTCAACCTTCATGACCAGAGATCATTCAACTGTACAGACAAAAAAAGAATATAAACAACGTATGCAACGTAAGCATGGTGATATGGGGTTTGTAACGCTGAATCAAAAAAAACACTAAGTATGAAATATTAATTCCAACCAAGTACCACGGTCGACCACTACACGTAATTATTCTGTTTCATACGCAAATAAATGAGTACATGATGTCGATCCGTATAACGTATCTCTGACTGCTCTAGGTGCATCAACGCCATATTTGTAAAGGCGGACCCTAACTTAGTATACCGGCAGACACGGTACAATACCATAGTCTACAAATGATTATACCGATAGATACGGTACTACAAATGATAAAACCCGGGCACAATACAGTTACAAAATACAGTTTAATGTAAAGACCGCTGATACCGTGTAGTGTGTATGTGAACAGTAAAACATACCTCAAGGGGCGAACAGAAAACTTAGGCGAGCAGAAGATCAGCTACGTTGGCTGATTTCATTGACCAAAGGTCATTTATTGTTAGTCACCTGATTCCTGTCACGTGGGACCTTTAGAAATACGAGATGATCGCTATTGATGTTGTATTAGACTGGCCCAGCTGTGGTGATTTCTTTTCAGTTAAAAAAATTGGAAAAAATACTATTGCGAAAGGTGGGATGAACGCGAAACAGGTTACAGGGGATTTCGCGTTAACATTTCGCTATTTTTTTAAATTTAATTTTAAATTTCAAAAGAAACAAATCGCTCAGACTGTGCCAGTCTAATGTTGTATAGATACATGTTTTTTTCAAATGAACAAACTAATTAACAACAAGAACAAAATAATTTGAGGTGGGTGGGTTGGGACACTTGTAATCGGGAAACACTGAACATGAACTGAATAAACAGACTCGTTTTCGCAGGTAAAAAGACTTTTTAAAGATTGTGATCTCAAATCTAATTTACCAGATGATATTTTTATTGAGGTAATGAAAAATGCAAAAGCCCTTTCACTATACCTTAAAAATATTATCTATAACTCCCCGGAATAAAAGTTGCGAGAATATTGAAGTTATTATTTCAATATTTCTTTAGTCTTTATTTTGTCAGTTTTACTGTTTGTTTTTATTACATTTTACCTTACTAAACCCTCTGATGATTTAGTTGTGTAGTAAAGTTATTATTATTGTACAGAGACAGAGGTGACACGAAATTATGCATGGGGCAATATCTGCTCACCATCCCTCACCATGGTCGCGCATTTTTTCGGGAGGGGGGGGGGTGCCGCCGCCACTGAAAGAGCTATCTGGAAGACGATGTCGGTCAAGTTATATTTCAAGTTATTTGATATCTTAATTTTACAAGCGATCTGTTATTGTTTAGAAGTTTCGAGGTCTCAGACAAATGACAAAATTGAAGCATGTGACACGTATAGCATTTGGTATTGGCTTCGACTCTTGAAATGCTGGATCACCGATTACCACGAAAAACTAAAAAATAATATGTACGAACAAGGGAGATATTCCTGGGCCAATGAATTTAAAAATGTACTGTTCTATTTTGGGTTTGGGGACGTGTGGTTAAACCAAAATGTGTCCCAATATACTAGTAGCACCAAACGTGTTTTTTCACTTCTGGCCACCTCATGCGAATATCTTCCTACAAACGGCTTTTCGACCACAACAAAAATGTGCCACACATATATAGAGGCATCAAACCTAGCAGTCAGTGATTTGAATTCACAATGTTATCTTCACAAATACTCGCCTTTTTAAAGTCGGGCTAACTGCTAGTCTTTCTTCTTCGATTGTATAATAGACGATGACAACTTTGTATACAGCAGATATGAAAGTTGCTTTTTCGGGCTTCATGGTCTTGGGAATATAATACAAGTTACACCTAACCAATTATTTATTATCACTGACTTGACACACTCTAATTGAGCGTCGTCATGGTTTCAAGGAATCATTACATAACGCCTAAACATTTTTAGAAACAAAACAAATTATTGTGTAGAATAACGAAAGATTTTTAAATGTTTGTTTATAACAGTAACATTTTATGTTTTAAGTGTCGCTATGACACCCTCATCCAACCATGGAGGATTTTCAAGAAATTTTTTATCTACTTAATGTTAGTTTTGAGATTTATTACCAAACTGTAATTATGAAAAGATTAGTTTGTGTATATGAGGCAGGCCAGTGAGCCTTGTCTTTTAATAAAAGAAAAAAAAAAACGCTGACCTTGTAACAAAGGGGCCGTCAGTTCGAATCTCAAATGAGGCTAAACATTCTAAATGTTTCGGCTTATCTATATTTACCTGTATATCACAGATGATATTGACTGAACCCTGCAATGGTCGAATGCGAAAACCTTCTTAGTTCCTTGGTTAGAGTACTGGTCTTGTAAACCTGGACCGTGAGTTCGAATTTCACAGTTGGCTAAACATTTCAATTTTTTTTTCAGTTGATGAATTCGATACCTGTATCGGTTTTATGGATGATATTGACCTGACCTGAACTTGCAATGGATATGTACGTAACCTGTCTCCTTAACTGAGTGAAAAATGTATTCAATTTGTTTTTGTATATTATAAAAAAATCATTAACTTTGTCTGGCGATTTTAAAGTTTGGACCCCCCCCCCCATAACAAAAATGTGTCCACCCCTGTGGTGTCAATCGCTGTCTTATGCAAACGATGGACATAATTTGCATGATTTGAAAAATTCAAATATGGAAATTTTAGGCTATTCTGGGTATCAATAAATTACGAGTAAATTCAAATACAAAAGTTTATGTATTTCTGAAAACATTGAACCATACAGTACCTACATGAGGGGGTCATTGTGCACCGCGAATGGATTGTTGTCATAATGCAAACGATGTACACAACGCGATCGGAGTTAATATGAGTGATTTTATTCCGAATAGTGCGCATGATTCAAGAATACAAAAATGTTATTTTTAGCTACCGGGAACGTCAATAAATGCAATAATAATTGTTATTAAAAGTGTATATATGTTACAGTAAACTTTACATGAAAAAGTCTCAGCTATAAAATATACAGTGACCCGAGTCAACAATCAATGCCGGCTGTCATCCATAATTGTGTGGTGTCAACCCTTCTGTGATGCAATGGCGTATCACCGGTAGTAATCGCATGACACCACAATGCACGAGTTCGAACCCGGTCTCTGTGATTTCTTCTTAAATACAAAAGTTTTTTTTCCAGCCATGTGGTATAAAAGTCCTTGAACAGTTTGCGAGAACAAAGAAAGTTAGACTCGGAAACAGAACAGACTGGTTAGAAATCACTAGATAGTATTAACAGCCGCCACTTCTGGATTTCAGACTTAGAATTTCCACCTGAGGCGTTACCTTCAGTGCCTTTTAACCACTAAGGCACCTCGCCGTGGAGATGCTAGGATCTCGCCTAGCCGTTGGGGGCACTAGAACCTTTCTAGCAAAGTTTACAAGAACCTTGCCTCGTGTTAGGGGAGCTAGAACCTCATGTCGCCAAGTTGGGGGAGCTAAAACCTCGTGTCGCCAAGTTAGCAACACTCGAACAGAGTCACTAACACAAAAGTTGTTGTGTGTTTTTGTTATTTATTCATTCACTAATTTAATTGTCTGGATTGCAATTAACCTTCCATTCACTGGCATTCAAGCAAATAATCGTCGTGGTCATGGTTTCCAAGATTCTGTAGAAAACATATGCCCATAGGGTGAACCGTTTGAAAACTACTTATTTTGCAAATTGTTCTAAACAAGCGTTCACTTAATGATAAACTAACTTGGTCAGATGATATAAAATTTATAATAAATGTAAACACTTTGGAAAATTGTCTTTATGACAACAATACACTGCTGGGTACCTACCCTCAAAAATGAGTTGATTCTTCCCTTACTTGTCAGCGGCTGGTGTCAAAAATTGAAAAGCAATTGGCTATTATTCCCGTCAATAATGGCCTAACATTCTTTCCTATCTCGGCATACAAATACAAGGTGCGTGCGCAACATGGGGTAAGGCAGTACGTATAAGGGGGAGGCGTACAGAAAGACTGAGTATCTCAACGTCACCGTATACTGTACATACAAGTGATCGAATGAAGCACGTATTACTGGAAACTGATAATGTGCTACTATTAGAATATCCTCCTATAATGTGATGACGTAACTCATTATAGAATTATTAGAATTAGATTTGATGACTCGTCAGAAAAGAATCCTGCGTGGAATATATAATTCAATATCGTGTTTCGTTTTCTTTAAATGCGATACTTGTGCTAGAAATGAAAGATAACACACACCGTGTATACTTTGTTCACAGATCGACGGGAACGCACACGGCATACGATAGGTAGGTATGAGACTTTACATCAAAATCGCTTAATACCGGATGGCGCATTTGAAAACGATGTTACTTTGTAACACTCTATCCAATATTACTTATCATTTCATATGTGATGGAAGTTCTGTTGAACAACGATTGTTTGTAGGGAAATATATTTTAAAACAGACTCAGTATTGACAAATGTCAATAATATTTTTTTTATAATTCGCGTGGTTATAAATGATTATATTCTATGTAATTGATATATTTATTTATTATGATCAGGTTCAAACTGGAATTTTGTAGCTGGCCTGATTGATCATTTGTGTGGATAGCTTTGAAATACACAAAAATAATAAATGTTGTTGCATAGTAAATAAATAAATACAACTGGTTATTAATTTATTCGTATGTCACAATTTAAAGTTCGAAGAGACGATATACCGAATAATTCGTTAGTTTACGCCAATGACAGCTGATAATGGAATAACAATTTCTTTCAATGTATTCACGTTTACAGATCACGATAACGACTGACAAACATCGGAACCTGTTGACACCGAGAGATTTCTTGAGATATTAATATCATGGCAATTATAGGAGATGTTGCTGTTGTGAACATGCGATCATTCCTTATATCAGTAACATGGACGTACTTGCTCCAGCTGTTGTGCGCAATATGCAATACAACAGGTAGGTTTTTGATCAAACTATAATAGACTATTTTCCGCTCACTGCGAGATCTCGCGATATGCGTAAAATTGAACATAAAATCCGGACAAACATCGGTCATTTCATCGCAGTGACTTCAAGACATTGCGTGCACGGGATTTGACAAACGAAAAGTTTTTTTTCCGCGCTTGATTAATGTGCATTTGATGATGGTCAAATGTGATGCAGTAAGAAATTTTGACAATCCGCCCTAAAACGAAATTAAAAAAAACACGAATCTGTCATCTGTACAATACGCGAGATCTCTCAGTGAACGAAAAACCACCTATTGTGGTGTAAATGAATCCCATCCATCAATATTTTAGAAACACACGCTTACAAATGCCTATGCTACCTCTATGAGAGAGAAATCAACATAAAAAACGACAGACTGATTTTTTTTATCTGGATGTACAGAACATAACATGTAGTAAAACATCTCATAAAGGGGCACGCAAATTACAGAAGACGCAATATAGTCTCGATCTGGCGATGGACAAATCAAGATAAACATATCTGTCTCCATCTCAATTTACTCTGTACACGCAGTAATACACTGTTATCGATGACACTTGTTTGTCTATGCCTTTTACGAAAACACTCTAATCCACTTGTAATTGACAATACACAATTCAGTGGCAGCCGTACGAAACTGCAAATATTTATCATCCAACCAATATTTGTTTAAGGTTGCTCTCGCTCGTTTTGGCAGTGATGACATTGTGCATAACAACCTTCGATGTTTTCATAGCTACCGTCTAAATTACATTCAGACATTTTTTTATTATATTTCATCGATTTGCCTCGTCTTGAAATGGCAATTGTTCCAAATTTAACAGTATATTATGTGTAGTAGTACTTGCTCTATTTGGTAGACAAGAATGTAGTCGGAAAAATAAAAATAATATCTAACAAGTTGACTAAAGTTTTAATGATTGGCAAACGGTTCCACTTTCAAGTCGTTTATAATTTTTTCGCATATTATGAATCCGATGGACATCAAATCCACAAATTATTGATAGAATAAGAGATGTACGTTCACAAATGCTTATCCACCTTGATGCATAACGACAACAAAGGCACTGTAAACAAACTACACACTTCACTATTAGTAGCGCTAATATACGCCTCGGTGTCGTCATA